AATTATTGACAAGCGCCTTGATGAATCAAGAACATCAAATTAAAGTCATCATTTCGTAATTTTTATGGTCGATACAATGACCTTATCAGCAAATACAATTTATCATTTAGTCAAATGCCGATTGATGTTTTTCATACTAATTTTTAGTCCATTATTAAAACACTGAAACACTGAACTTACGACGGATTTTCCCGGTATTTTCCCGATCATGACAAAGAGCACGTGGCGGATGAGACCGGTCGGCAAGGGATGCTCACTCCTCCATACTGGCACCTGATGCCACCTAAGATATTTTGGAGGTCCGTGTTTACTCTGCTCCATTTTGTATTGTTTTATGGGTATTGGATCTCGAATACTGTTCTTTATCTCAATATTCTTCATTGATTAATTGTATGTTGTTAAACGGTTTTCTGAAGAATTTTTCACTTATATGTAGACCCACGTCTTGCCGATGGAGAGCTACAAATTTTGTCCTATACTCGGCACTCAAGGCCATTGAGCAGTGAGCGTTCTTTTTCGTGCCAACACCTACAATGTATTGCGACACGGGACCTCGGTTTAAACGGTCTAATCCAAAGGACCAGTATCCACGTCCCTAATATTAATTGTGGAAGAGGTCATGAAGATAAGATCGAAAACGGTTTTTTGAAAAACTGTAGATAATACTGATACACTGTACGTTTCCATTGCCTGAGATTTCCCATATTTATACATGAAATTAAGTCCTACAAGCTACATTAGAAGAATACGTTTTTAGGTTTTGAGAAATTTGTAGGCGTCTTTCATTTACAAGATCTGTGCCTTAAATGGGCCACATTGAATATGCTCAAAATTAAGTGGTTTGCAATGAATTGTATGTTCTCCAAATAAATTTGTAATGATTGTAAGGCTTTTTAAAGTGATCGCCTCAAATCCATTTGATTATCTTCTAATTTGCTTGTCATTCATCTTTTACAATTTTCGAAAAATGTATTTAAATCATGTCATCAGACAAAAGAAAATTACTCTTGAGAAAAAGGAGATTAAGATACTAGATAACGCGTAAAATGATAAATAATTTTAATGATTATTTCAAATTGAAGTATGTTACATATACCAGTATCCAAGCTTAATTTAGCCATGATACTTTGTAAACAAAATATATGATGTCAACAGAATTAACAATATTCAAAACAAGTAATGTTTATTTTGAAACAAATACACATGTAGAAAGATTAATATTGATTCTTTTCTTTAAATGTCATTTATTAGTTTACAATAATTACAGCTAGTGGAGTGTTTGTACGATGGGGACGTAAGGACTGTCCTGTAGATAACGAAACAGAGGTGGTATATTCGGGTAAGCTGAGAGAACCTTGGTACAATATTATTATTAATTAGTCACCATATACATTATTAATAACAGATAATACAAACAAAAAATGGATGCCTGGATTGGTATATATTTTTGGGTCCATTTTTGTTGTAAATGATGAAAATCATACATCTAATTTTCAATTATTAAGTATAGAAAACAAGACAATTTCTCCCTTAAAACGTCTTTAAATTGTTCATATTTTAAACGTAACGTCAAGCGAATTGATACGCTTTTGACGTAAGTAATTGTGATGTTGGAAACTCAGGTTATACAATTAAAATAAATCTTTTATCCAATCAAATGACGCGTTACAACTAAATTCAAAGTACTGGATTGTAAATTAAACCTTTTATGATATTCAAAATTCTACCTTTCTGCAACTATGTTTAGTATCTATTTTTCATTTCAAATCCCATTATTGTGAAACTTTGAAAGAAATACGAAAAACTATGCAGTGAATCTTGTCTATTTTATTCATTAAAACATGAGCAAGTTATTATTTTCAAATTTTAAGACGAAAATCTCTCCTTAAGGTTTTCTTTCTGAACAATTTTTTTTTTCAAAGTCTTAAAGTACATATAGAATAAACTGATAACGAATTATGTTAAATAATACATATGTACATTGTTCAGGATTTGGAGCTGGATCCTGGAATAATCATCATGGAGCTGCAGCTGAGTTTGTTTGTCTACCACGTGATCCTAACCTGACCACCAAATTTACTTCTCCAGTGCATTCATATATGGCGCAGAAAACGACTCCTCTGACTTTGGTCATCAGAATGGGGATGACTTGCCTTGTGTGGTTTGCAGAAGGAAGAGACAGTCGAGCGTGTTGATGATACCAGGAAAGAATAGCTGCTACTCGGGCTGGAAGGAGCAATATCATGGATACCTGGCAGCGGGACATTATAATTCTCAAGCTGCCACACAATACATCTGTCTCGATGAACATCCGGATGTTCTTACAGCAGGACGACGTAATGACAATGGCAAATGGGTCTACCCTGTTAAAGCTGTGTGTGGATCATTGGCATGCCCACCATACCACAACAATAAGTACCTAACATGTGTTGTGTGCACAAAATAAACACAAGGAGCAGAACTGTAATTTTTTTTATAGTTTACATGTAATATGAAATAAATCCATGAAAATTGAAGCTTTCTAATTACATTTTCTCTAAGAAGGCTAAGTAGCTAGACTATACGTGCTAGGTAAGCTGGTAATATTTCTATTGAAATCCAGTTTCATAATGCAACCAAGATTGCAGATGAATTAACAAGATGAATCAAGAATTCATCCTTTTTTAATGCCTTCACCTGTGTACATCGTGACTTGTACTAAATTCAGTCTTTTTTTTCATTCCGGGATTTTCTAGGGAAAACAAAGAAAAATCGACAGTTGCAAGAGGCTTAAGAGAGAGTCTAAAAACTGAAGCAGAATTAGACACCATGTCCTCTGCAATTTCAACAATACTTCCACGGAAGATAAACAGCGCAGCAAATGAATTCGTTGTTGATGCTACTTTGCATGGTGATATCAAAAGACTTCCAGTCAGCATGAAGTGTCTAGTTATAAAATATTAATGAATATTGCATTGTATTTACTTAATGGGTTTTGTTATATAATCATGAACACCGTATCTAATATATTACCGACATTTGAATGTCATAAAAATTTAGATCTACAATTAGGAAATTTATTGACAATGCTTTATTCATAGGCAAACTGTGTCACAGAATCGAAAAACAATTTCTTCTAGTTCCGCAGCCACTAAGGTAAAAATTGATAGTTGTAGAAAGCAAGTTTTTTTTCAATTATTCATATGATATATTTGAATGTTGTGATTGTTCTCAAATAATACTCGTATATTTTTTGCTTGAGTGAAATAAATATAATAGGATATCCGCCTAAAATAAAGGAGTAACAAACTGTAATCTAGCTCAAACTCCAGTACAAAAACGAACAGAACAACCACAAGTCTCTGAAAAATCAGGGATGGGATCAGGTGTCTGGAGTAGTTGATATCCTCTGTAGACCAGTTAAACCTGTCGTTCGTCCCTTGTCATGATCGGGCAAGCATATATTAATCGGTAGACAATCGATTATGTAAACAATGTATTAACTATAAGTATGAAAAACGTCGGTCTCAAGTCGACTTAATGGATATTGTTTTTGCTGATTCGAATTTATATACTATTTGCAAAATGATGACGTTAAGTAAGACTGTTTATAAGCCTTTCTTCAACTTGTCTGTCAGTATTTTTTTGTTTTAAATATTGTGAAACAAATTGAAGACAGAAACGTTAATGGTTGGTCCTTAGTGTATAATTGATGTATGAAAAAGCTTAAATAACCACATCTGCTTTATAAATTTTGTTACTAGGTTACCACAAACATCCCTCTCCATTAAAATGTCGAGATAGAAAACAGATTTGTAGGACTGTAATGCATCTTTTGTTATCTCTTCAGTTGAGGTGCGTGGAGTCTACATGTACATATGAAATAAAGAAACATATTTTTATTTAATGTCAATAAATTTTTGATCACCAGTCGGAATAGGAAATAAGGTTTTGTAGACTAGGATATGATAAGGTCAGAATAAAGTTCAAACCGACCTACCGACCTACCAGGCAAATAGTTTGTTCATTGACAAATCGATCGTGGTTCAAATTTTGCAATCTAATTTCAGAAAATAGTCCTACTGAAAAGAGAACCTGTTTGAAGAAAAGTTCCCTTTAAGTCAAATAAAATACATTTTCAAATTTCTTTTCTCGTGAAAGATAAAGGGAAATTTGTATTCATTTTTAGGTCTCACAATATACATTATTGTATATCAATTCAAGAATATATTGTTCACTTTGTTTCTGGGGAGGAATATTTAAAACTAACGTACTACCGACAGTGTTGTTCACCTATTTAAGCTTTAAAAAGGGGATGCAGGTTGGAGATTGCATTCTCGTACATTTATTGATCGAGTTCGAGTGCAACATGCGGTTTATCGGACCCAAGAACCAAACCTTTTGCCTGAGGCCGTTAAGCCGAAATCATACAGTTTGGTTCGACGATCGACAAAACGCAATTAGCCTGAGAACACAGTCAATAAATGTTTTGTTATACTTTTCATTTTATTATTTTTTTTTTTGGATATACATGCATCCTATACTGTTTCCCGAGATGTTAACCTCAGGCCTGTCACTGTTGAATACATCAAATGCAAATAGGATTTAGCTTTGTCCATTGTGTGACGTAAGCGGTCCAACATCTTATCGACAGGTCCAACATCTCACTCAGTGGTCAAATATCGATTTCTTTTATGCCCGCTCAGTTAAACGTTAGATATGTAAGACTTTTTTGGTAAAGATTTGTATTGAAACAAATTTTTAAAGGTATAACAATTGTCATTCCTATACTGTAAATATATAAATATATAAATACCCCCGGTATATAAATATATATATATTACTGTTTAAAACAGGAAAATAATCTAATGCTACATGTAGCATAATATCAAAAGTTTTTATCAGTGGTAGTAACCTACGAATTCACAACTAACAGTACATAATCGGGAAATATACTGTTGTTTTATCTATCATTTGTGCACATTTAATTTGGACTGGCCTGCGTTAGTCCGATCGAAGATATGAAGAACCTTTACTCTTTGGTCATCTTTATACAAGCTATAATCGGACATGCTGAGAAGAGAATTTTGCTGTATGACCCAGACGTGATCCTGTCTCAGATTCATGACCTGGAAAGGAAGTATCAGGACATATTTACGAAGTATTCTGAGTTGTCTAGAAAGTATTCTGATTTATCCACAAAATATAAATGGTTTATCGTCGCAGTGTTCCGACATGACTACAAAGTATTTGGATCTTACGAGAAGAACAACTGATCTGACTGTAAAATATGACGCTTTGTTTTCCAAAGCAACTGGTATTTTTTTTTTCTTAAATATATTTGCAGACATTTCACAAGCATTTATCATGTGATCTAGATTTCATTCTAAAAAGACATATTTTGATAAAACGTTCAGTATTATACGATATCTGTCAGTCAAAATTATGTACTTTTCGAAAAACAGGTCTTCCTACATTCTTTTGGGATTCCCAATTGCAATCTGTTATAAGCAGACTAATTTTTGAATTCATATTAAGCAGAATTTATTCAAAAGTTTCTGTAAGAGAGGATAACACTGGTAGTTGCCTTCAAATTGACATACTCATCGTTAAGACAGTTTTCACTCAGACACTAAATAAACGACGGATTTCCGGCGATTTTCCAATCGTGACAATATTACACTGTACCGAGCTGCTGGGGATACTCATTCTTTCTTGGCATCATAACCTCCGAAGTTTTGGGGGTCCGTACATATCTATTTGCTTTTCTCCTGATTTGTATGGTTTAAGTGAACTTATCTCAATGTTTTAACTTCCCTGCATTCAGAATTTTAAAAAAAAATGCCCCTTCAACATTTAAAACATACAACACTTTCTATTAACAATGTCAATATTTTCTTTACTGTTAATATATTTTAGCTGGTGGAGTGTTCGTTAGATGGGGAAGAAAGGATTGTCCTTCTGATAATAGCACAGAATTGGTGTACTCTGGTAAGTTAAAAAAATTGAAAAAAAAATTAACAGTTCAATCTTATTTTCTAAATTCTGTGGAAATAAAGTCGATTTCGATATCAGCATTGTTCTGTTCCATTTTCGAACATTATCGATTTCTTTTTATTGTGTACAAGGGTTGTCCCAAAAAGTCGTAGACAGGGAAAATAGTTTATTTTCTCTTTGTTGAATTAAAATTCTTTTCTTCTAATAACAAAAAGTAACATTTTATGATCATGTATTTCAAATTTCATAATGACATCACATTTAATAAGAAAATTATGAAAAAGTAAAGAAAGCATGTAAGTGTACATCGGCGCTCGAAAGCAAGCGTAATTTACGTCTCTTATAATGTCATAATCTCTTTTTATGCTTCACGCGTTTGTTACCATTCAATATTTTTTCTAAAAGTGAAAGACCACTCTTGACTAAGGGACTTATTTATATTCACTACTTTCTGGGGTTTTGTTGTTGTTGTTGTTGTTGTTGTTGTTGTTGTTGTTTTTTAAGCAGATTTAAATTTTAGACGAAATTTATTCGAAAGATCGCCATACATTGTTGGTAGCAGAGAATGCACATTGTTTGACGTCGTTCGTGACCCAGATTGTTTCCCCTTGTCTGCGTACCTTAACAAACAGTACTCTACTTCTTACATGTTGTAACTATTTTCGCTATAGCGGAAAAACTCTCATTGAATTTTATGCCATTTAAAAATAACTTTCCAATTAAAATCTAGTGTGTAATGTCACTTCCGTACTCTTTTTCCCGTCTCTGATGTATACAAACCATATTCAAAACAAGTTATTATATATCCGTGCGCCGGTTACGCGTTTGACGACGTCATTTTCACCAAACTCAATTCCAACAACACTTTGAAAATCATGATGACACCAATCGTCTGTTTCCAATGCTATTATTATGAAATTTTGACACATTATTAAGATTTTGATTCTGATTTCACTGATTTAAATTTCAGTTCAATGTTTTTCATAATACTGAAGAAATAAAAGCAAATGTAACAGTTATATGTGTGAAATATATTCCGAATTTTGTTCGTGCGCCGACAAACCTTATCGGCCATCATATGAATCGTCCTAATATTATTAATTTATGAAAGATATATATTTAAAAATCCACAATTTTAAAGAACATTGAATTTATTATGTCTATGCAAAATTTGGGTAGTATTGGTTGCATGTTTAAAAAGTTATAAACAGTAAAAAGTAGATAGATGTTCAATTTGTTTCAAACGTAAATATACTTAGGATTTGCTGGTGGATCTTGGTATGATCATTCTGGTGCCGCCGCTGAGTTTGTTTGTCTCCCACCCGATCCAGATCTTACCAACAAATTCACTTCCGGGTTTGCTTTCATGTACGGCGCTGAATACGATTCCACTGAGTTTGGCCGCCATACAGGTGACGATCTTCCTTGTGCCGTTTGTAGAAGAACAAAACAGTCCAGTGTGTTGATGATTCCAGGAAAGAATAGCTGCTACACTGGATGGACTGAACAATATCATGGATATCTTGCAGCAGGATACTATCAATTTGCATCTGCCACCCAGTACATTTGTCTTGATGAACATCCTGATGCTCTTCGAGCAGGAGAACGTAATGACAATGGAAAATTGGTCCGTCCCGTGAAAGCGGTATGCGGATCGCTAGCATGTCCACCATACCACAACGATATGTATTTAACATGCGTAGTGTGCACCAAATAAATAATATAACCTAATGATTGTTACTTTCATGGCAAATATCCCTTACCCAGAAATGAAACTCTGAAATATTTCAGCTGTAGTAGTTTTGGAGAACAAAATCCCCAGTATGTGAAAAACAGGCACCTAAAATTTCTAAATGTATTCGAGCTCAAAAGTCCATTAAACATTACAAAATAGGAGCAGAGCAAACACAGACCTTCAAAACATCAGAGGTAGGATCAGGTGCCATGGATGAGAGAATATTCGCTGCCAATTGCTGGAGCTTTACATCAAACGAACTTCTGACTGAAAGTTGTAAGGACTATGGGATAGTGTGCTCCTTGCCATATTCTGAAAATAACGGAGTAATCCGTCGTTAATTCAGCGTTTATAAATAATGGACTAACAATTGGTATGAAAAACGTCTGTTAGCATTTGACTCAATGATAAACTGTATTTGCTGACAAGGTCATTGTATCGAATATAGAACATACGAAATGATGACTTTAAACGAGACTGCTGATATATATATTTGTTTCATCAAATATGTCAATAATGAACCTCGTTTTAGCATTGTTCATACGTAAAGCATGCTGAAGATTGCGTATCGAATCAACTGAGATACTGTAAAATCACATACTTTCGAAGGGTCAAACTTTCGTGTTTTTAGGAAAAACTCTTGTTTCTTGGGAATTTGATTTCGTGGATGAAGAATTGTTGAGCAGTTATGTATGTAACATTTTATATTTCCTGACGGACATAAATTCATGGGTCTCTTCATACCTCGAAAACAACGAAAATTAACCCCCTCGAAAATTTTGGATTTCACAGTATATAAAATCAGCTTTCAGGTTATGAAAACCTTTTTGATCACGAGATCTAAAGGTCAGGTTCATAAACTTAAAAATCCAGTCTGTTTAAATACTGTTATTTCTCGAGAAGTCTGGGACCTTTTGCAATTTAATTTTAAGCATTAACTCTCCATGTCCTAAGACTGCTTTCAATTTAAAGTTAGAAGGTCAAAGGTCAAGGTCCTAAATCAATATTTCTGTCTGTTATAACACATTCATTTATTTTATGCGATAGGTCCAGAAATTTTCAAAGAAATTTCATCTCATCATTCCCTGTGACCTCGCCCACTCCTCTTAAAGTGCCCCAACGTCAACCAACCCCAACCCATCCCAAAAGTTTTCAATAGAATTTCTCAAAGTGTCAAAGTTTTCGATAAAGTTTTTCAAAGTGTCAAAGTTTTCACCAAACATTATCAAAGTGTAAGAGCTTTTGCCAAAGTTTATCAAAATGTCAAAGTTTTCGCCAAAGTTTTCACTAACTGTAAAGTAATTTACAGTCTCCATATTTTTTTTAAATTAAATATTGTAACTACTAGTATATAATTTTTTTATTCTATAGAATAAACGTCCCTACGTTCCTACAGAGCAGAAAATATGTAAATTTTTTTTCTTCTTTATGTAATAAATCGTTCAAGTCATGTAAAATACACCCATTTATTATATCTAATGAATGTTTTTATACCGGCTCACCATCCATACTATAGACCTGGCCGCGTAATTATCAACCAAATAAAACACAAACCTGCACTTAATCACGAAAAAGTCACAATCATTTATCAGGTCTGGACGATTTCTAAATATGGAAGTCAAGAACGATAACCGAAAGTTGCTATAAATGCACATCAAGTACACGTAATTATTTTTCTGTCCAATCAGACAACAGCATTTTTACGCACCCCAAAACATATTTTAAAAGAACAAAAAGATAACACGTGTTTTTGTTTTTTTCCTCAAAAAGATTTTTTTAACAAGAAATCTGTAAAAGTAAGATGAAAACTTTTGAAGAATAAGGTATTCCCCACATTTTTACCGTAAACAACCTTGACATTTTTATCTCGGTAAAGAAAAAACAATAATGCACGATAGAATGTAATCGTTTACAGAGGTATAGATCGCACCAGCAAGTTTTAATCGAGTTCAATTATAACATTTACCAGAATATATTATATGATGGTAAATATAATTTTGCCGTCCGATTTTCATCGTTAATGCTTAAATTCCATGTGAATAGATCAACTCACACAAGTGTTTATCGTATGGAGTATACACATATACATGTAGTTTTGCATTATCACGAGTTTCATGAGCGCCGAATACTTAGCTATGCAGAGACTGCTATGCAGACTTTAAATAGGCATAAGGAAAGGCGATTAACGTGGAGAAAAGAGAATCCTGTAATTATACATGAATGCGTTTTATCCCAATATCTTACCTCGCATATCAGAAACTGCATGGACTACTAGTATTCTGTAATAAACACTCAAAAATAATAAAGACTGTTATATTTTCGATAAGATTTTTATGTCAGGCTCTAAAAACTGAAAGTTTACCGTATTTATATCAATTTTTAAACGTAAGTAAACTTTTGGGATTGCTAACTCCTAGAGACAGATTTATTTATCCCACTTAAAATATTTCAAGTCGCGTTTGTTCACGGTAGAATTGTCATAAATATTATATTATTCCCAAATGCGCATAAAGTTTACAAAAAGTTTGTTCTAAAAAAATCTTTTGAGCAAAAAACTTAAAAACCACGTGTTTTATTTATTCTCTCATGGGTTTGTCTAAACGCTGTTATCTGATTGGTCAAAAGGATTAGTGCCTTGTTTATTTTGTGTATTAATAGCAATTCACGGTTATCGTTCTTGACTTCCTAATTTAGAAATCGTCCAGACCTGTTTATTATCTATCATTTGTGAACATTTATTTCATGTTGACAGATCTTTAGAGGTTTTATTCAGATCTAAAACAATGAAAACATTTTACGATTGGTTATTTTCATACCTGTTATAATCCCCCATGCTGAGAAGAGGATTTTGCTGAATGACAGAGACGTGGTCCCGTCTCAGATCCATGACCTTGAGAGAAAGTATCAGGAAATATTAGTGAAGTACTCTGATTTATCTACAAAGTATTCTGATGTATCGACGAAGTATTCAGATTTTGCAACCAAAACAGCTGATTTAACAACAAAATATAATTCCATACCATTAAAATTTTCCGGTAATTCTTTTTTTTTTCAGAAACGTCTACCAGTAACTATCTACTTGCATTTTCAAATTATATAGAATGAGTTCAATAAAAAAAAATTCAGAAACCTTATCCCCTTCACAAAAGTCCTTTGGGGTATGACAAGCGAAGATATAATCAAACCTTAGACAATTCCTTGAAATAGTCAGCTGGTTGCTAGGTTAAACAAGATGTGTTTGTGAAACACTATGCGCCCGGCGGCAACAAAATTCAAACGAGTTATTTTTAGCATATAGGTAACGGTCAAGGTCACAAGGTCATTGGTGTCATTTGAAAGAACTTAACTAGTGGAGTATGCATACCAAATATAAAATTTATATCTCTGATGGTTCAAAAGGTATGGTAAAAAAAACGGATCTATCGATCAGTGCGCATAAAAATACCCACCTTTTAAGCATTTCTGGTGTAGATTTTGACAATGCTCGCTTTGATATCCCCATGCCATGACAAGAGCACAAACTACATGTTTCTGTACAATTCTCTACATTTTTTAAAGGGATTTTCATCCTAGAGATTAGATTTAAAACAGCAGGCTCCAAAAAAGAATTTAATTTTAGACAACCGTCATATATCTACAACTCCAGCAAGAAATGGTAAAATACTATTAATGTGATCGATTATATCATGTTTAACCAATCTTTTGAAAATTTGTCTCACATATAAAAACGTCCAATGCCCTAAAAGACTTTTAACTTCATCGAGAATTGAGGGTTCATCGTGTAAAGCCACTTGTGAAAGGGTTTTTTTTCTAAGGTCTTTTACCAAAGACCTGTGCCTTTCAGCGCTTATATCGGGCACTTGGTAAAAGAGCAGTCATAACATTCACTTTTGTTAAAGTGTTTGGTTTGACTTGGCAAGTCCAACAAGAATCGAACAGGGGTATCCGGATACAAATTAAAGCAGACGGTGAGATGCACTATCAATAAGCTACCCTTCCCAGGTAGAAAAGAATATCATGTAGAGAAAGCTGAGAATTAGAATAGTTACAAGCGCCAAAACATGAAACTCTGAAAACACCGCAGATGGAAGCTGGTAAGCTTTGAAGGAAAATGCATCCCCTGTTCTATCGTACATAAAGTGTGTTTATATAACCGTGCAGCGTTTTAAGTAATGGATTTATGCCGAATATTGTTCTATATGTAAAATCATCAGACTGTTTGAAGCCGTCTAATAATTTAACATAAAGAATTTTGTGAGACATATATCATACATAGGTATTCAAATTACCTAGAGGAGTTCGAAAATATCACAGCAGGGGCTTGGGCTTCAATAGTTTCTACCTAAAGCCATCTAATAAATAGACTTTAGTTAATAGAAGTTTTTTTCCTTCCGATAGTAAAACCAATGATAATCTAAACACTGCTCAAGAACATCGTCAAGGTTGTCAGATGATTCTTTCTCCTATTAAATCATATACAACTGTACCTGATTTTGTCTCTGTGAAGACTTGGAAATTTTATGTTTTATAATCTATCAAATAATATTTAAAGGATACGTGGATCTCTGCCATGTCCTCCATATCATAATAATATGTTTCTAACATGTGTTGTGTGCACAAAATGAACACATGTAGCAGAACATCTTAAAACTTAATTTTCAGTTGAATTTTATTAAAATCATGAATTTGTTTCCTTTCTGTTTACATTTTTAATCTTTAAAATCCTATTGCATTGGAGCAATCTGTACCTAGAGTTATTGTTTTCTTCGCTACAACACCTCTGTCAACCTCTAAATGACAAGATTCTTGGCAAAACTTACTTTTGCCTATTGCATCATAATATATGAATGTAAAACTTCTATATTCCTGCTGAATATGTTAAATGAAAGTTTATTTACGAGAATATTAGAATCAGATATCGCCTTTTCACCATATCTTAAAAGGGATATTACTGTTTAAAATAGATGTTTGATAAAAGTTTT